CCTCTGTTTATTTTGTTGCTTTGAGCTTGAGTGTTTGACAACGAAGTAGCGCTTTGGAAAACTTGAGTATTGGTTTGAGCACGTCAACTTGTGAGGTCATTATTAGAGAAACTCAATTGCGTTTTTTTCATCTGTACATTGGCCTGTAAAGTTTGTAATGAAAACAGGAAGGTCCAGGTGAAGGAGCTGTAAAGAAGATTTTGTAAAAAACTTTTTTCTGCTATACTTTTCTTGTCGTTAATTGCAGTTTGGAAATATTAGAAATATTTGAAGTAAATTGGCTGTTTGGTAACATTCTTACTTTTTATATTTGCTGGTTATTTTTTGTATTTCAATAGTTGGTGGTTACAAATTATATATTTGTCGATGACTGGTTGAAATTTAGGCACCTCGTTTTAAAGTTTTTAGAGTTTTTCTGTCTTTTTCAAGGAGATAAATGTTTTTTGGAAAATGAAAAAAGATTTTTTTGAAGTATTGCTAGGGAGTTTGTTGCATGTGCACCCACCAGTTATTAAAATACAAAAACTTCTCTCAACTGGATTGGTTTTAAATTGATATGTTGAATTTAAAGTTGGCATACAATATTTGCTCTGCATTCTAATATCGGTTAGAAGCAACTTAGAAGTCCGAGGAAGGTTAGTGGAAAAGTTTGAAGGCTGGAGCGGATTACGCCATGTCGGTGTACCAACATGCGGCGCCCGAGGCACGCCACGGACATAGCGAAGCAGCCGCGCCTGGGAAGCACTCCAATTCGCCTGAAAGGCACTCTGTTGGGATGAAGTTACATCCCGTAGGTAGGCTTTTTTTCTTTTCGTTAATAAATGAATTCAACTACTCATGTTCCTTGGCTTGCAGATGAACCTCTAGACCGTTCAGAAATGACTTCTCATATGAAGCACGTCACGCCTTTACTTAAATCACCAGTAAAACAACCAGCTCCCTTAATCCACGGATCAGTATCGAAAGTATACAGTGAACTTTTAAAATTCATTAACTTTTGGTATACTGCTTTTTTTTGTCACTATTTCTCTTTTTAAATGGTTCGCCCAAGCTTACTATAAGTAGAACTCTTCAGGAGGCTGCAATTGCCACGCATGCAAATTTGCTACCTGGTCTACCTAAAGAAAAGTTGCAACATTTAAGGGAACTTTATGAAAGGTTAGACATGGACAACGATGGTACGATTGATATTCGTGATCTTACGTTAGCCTTACAGCACGAAATGCCGCATATACCTAATGGTGTTGCTCCGGTGTGATACTTCTTATTCTTAAACTTATGTTTAGGAATTAATTTTTCAACCAACATTTACAGACTCCTTTCAATAGAATTTTTTTCAACTTGTTTGTTTTAATAACATTTTAATAGTCTACAATTTTTTTTTGCTGAGAGGGACGGATTCGAAAAATTATTAGTGCGACACATTCTTGATTTACACTCTGACCCTAGACCGTTCAGAAATGAAAACAAACTTATTCTCTGTGAATTTCTTCATCTCAGAACCATAAATTCGGTTGTCGAGATTGTAACCAGTTTCTTCTTCCAGCAGCTTCTTGCCCGTATGAGTAACGTTCGTGAAGAAGGAGTGGAGAAAGTGGGTTTTCCAGAATTCGCTCAATACGTTATTGAGCATGAGAAACAGTTGGAAAAGATTTTCGAAGAACTTGATAGGAACAAAGATGGTTTGTAACCCGCATTTTTATTTTTATGACTTGATATTTCACTTATATGCTAGTTATATAGGTTTGATTGACGTAAAAGAGATCAAGAGTTACTGTGACCAAGTTGGTGTGCCTATTTCTGATGCGAAAGCGCAAAACGTTGTTGAAAAGTTTGTTTTTCAATCGATTTTTTCATTCTACCTTTTATATTCCTTTTCAGATCATCCCGATCAGCAATGTGTATTTTTACTGTTCTTATTTTTATGAGTTTTTTTTCTTACTTAAAAGATCGACAAGCTGTTTATGTTTTTAAATACAAGCATATCTTTTCGAGCACGTAAAGTTCTCTTTCTGTGACGCTCAAAGTGGCTCAGACTTTACATCTGGTTTTTCAGGATGGACCAGACGGGATCTTCTGCGATCGGACTGTCAGAATTCCAGCAGTTTATGCTTTTTTATCCTAGCTCCGACCCAGCAGACATTGCTCGATATTGGAAGCATAATCTGGTAATTATAAAACTGAGAGTTTATCTCTGACCTTGTTAAAAGAGTCGCCCAAGTTAATAAAAAAAATTTTTTTTGGTTTACTTTCTAACTTTTGATGGTGAATGTTTCATTACATGCATTCATTTAGGCTACGGATGTCGGGGAGAGTTCCTTGCCAGAAGACTTTTCACCAATGGAATTACAGACGGGTGTTTGGTGGCGACATCTCGTTGCAGGGGGAATAGCTGGCTGCATGAGTCGAACCTGTACTGCTCCCCTTGATCGAATCAAAGTTTATCTTCAGGTGAGTTGCTGCGCGGTATTATAATACTCAAAATTTTGTCTTTGTTTACCTCTTTTATTTTAAATAATTTTTTGAAATATAGGTTCATGCAACTTGGAGAAATAAGCTCAACGTTTTTTCTGCTGTTAAGTTGTTGTTTGAAGAAGGTGGAGTGAAATCATTTTGGAGAGGGAATGGTGTTAATGTTGTCAAAATAGCCCCTGAATCAGCAATAAAATTCATGGCATATGAACAGGTATTGAGTTGTAGCACATTTGCTGCTGTTTCCTATTCGTATTGAATTCATTCTATGATATCTTTTGTATATCGTTTTTTCGTGTCTAATGACACCTCGGGAAGCTTGTGCTTCTGAATTTTGTTTCACAGTTTTATTTTTTTAATAAGAGTTGTTCGTTCGGCAGTGTTTAATAGTTTTTAGATGAAGCGAGTGCTCTTGAGTTTAAAAGGGGAAGGTGAATTAACTGTATCCGAGCGTTTTGTGGCTGGCTCATCTGCTGGTGCTATTTCTCAAACTGTTATTTATCCCATGGAGGTATGCTGATGCTTTCAAATTTTTAGTTTGTCGTTTTGCTCATTAAGTGTCGCTTTTACTTCATTTCTCATCTTTTTTCTTGTTATTGGAGCTGTCATTTTATGAGCTTTGATAACACAACTAGCGCTTATATGGCAAAAAATACAAATTCATACATATTTTTCCTTCTATAATTTCTTCTGTAATTGAAAGGCTTAATGATTGTTGCTAATGGAGGTTTGGATGCTTAAGGTTTTAAAAACTCGATTGGCTTTGAGGCGGAGTGGGCAACTCGATAGGGGTTTGTTCCACTTTGCAAAAAAAATGGTCAAAAACGAAGGGATTATGTGTTTTTACAAGGTTTGTTTTTGGATTTTTTCTTGTAGCGAGATATTTGATTAACAGGTAAAGGCTTCTCGAATAGAAGTTTGCAGAACTTAGGGAAATCCGGTTTCAAGCCATCGTTTCGTCATTTTTAAGGAGATTCTCTACATGTTTCTAATCGAATCGTGCAGAATCGTTTTTTATGCACAACATTTCGGAAAAGTAGCGGCGTTTTTTTTTTTTTTGTACTGGTTATATAGTTTCTCGGCAAAGACTTCCTAGTTGCCATTTTTGTTAGCTTTAATTTCTGGTAAGTACTTTCAGTGAAATATTTCAAATATCTGGCTATTTGTTTGGAAATTATTATGTTTTTAGGGTTATATTCCTAATTTACTGGGCATCATTCCTTATGCCGGTATAGATTTGGCAGTCTATGAGACCTTGAAGTCCTTGTATGTAAAAAGTTGTGCAGGTGAAGCGGAACCAGGCGCTCTGGCTTTTCTCTGTTGTGGAACGTGTAGTACTACATGTGGTCAACTCGCTTCTTATCCTCTTGCATTGATAAGGACGCGGCTACAAGCAAGGGGTAACTAGCTGTTTTAATTTTATTTAATAATACTTTTTCTTACCTGGATTCTACAATTTTTTATTTTTATTTTATTATTATTATTATTTTTTTTTTTTTTTTTT